GGGGGGATATAGTGGTAATCTACCTTTTAATTCCCCGTCCGAGTTATCTGAACAGCTGTCACTCTTGGCCTTCGCTTCCTTCCTGCTCTGACTCTCTTCTGTCTTTGAAACCTCTCTCGCTGTCTCTTGCGCCGATTTGCTGCAACTTATTGTCGATTCTGATGCTGACTCAACAGATGTCGCCAAGTGGGTCAGAGAGAAGCCGGAGGGGAACTGCTGCTGCTGCTCGTCCTGCTGGGGCCTCTCTCCGTTGTACACCTGGAAACATCCGCTGGACGAAGCGGCGGTTTGCTCAGGCCGGCAGCTATTGTCCCCAAGCCGGATGTAAGTGGCCGACTCTGTTGTCTGTTTCCCCTTATTGCTGTCATTCTGATAGAGGCAACAAAACGCCTCCTCTTTGACGTTGCCCGCTGGAAACGAGCAGGGTTGTAAACACTGGGCAACAGGTTGTTCGTCCCTACTGGTTTTGGAGCCTGGGGTCCATGTGGCCAGCTGTGTTGACAGGTAGGGCGCATCCTGGAAGCCGGTGAGCGGCAGACCGCCCGGAGGAACATCGTCTCTTTTGGAGAGGGAAGATGGTCCAACCTTCCCAATGTTTCTCATCACTGAATATCCGTACTCTGCAGCTGTGTGGATGTACATTCCGGGGTTGCTGGAATAACCCTCACCCCTGAAGGAAGATGATCCTCCCATTAAGGAATCCATCAGGAAGTTACCGGGCGCTATGTTATTCGGACATGACATTTTTGCATTTGGCAACACAGTTAATCGCTTGGTGTGTTCCACTGCTCTGAACTACGGGATTTCTCCAGGAGAATAAGGACAGTAGGATGCTGACATCTTTTGGAGGGGGGTGCAAAAATATCAGTAACACAATTATGGATGCTGGGAGACATGTCATGTGATTTTCAGACCAATAGCGGAGTGGAAGTGGCCTTGATGCTCCAGACTGACGTGACGTCAGCGCGGTCAAGTTGGGAAACCTGGAGGCTTTTTGGTGGAGCAAGAGCGCCACCTAGCGACCATCCGCTGGTCAGGACAGCAGGCCCACAGCAGAGGGGAACAAAGGACGGCTGCTGCAGCAGGGATTTCTTTTCTTTTTTTGAAGGCACTTACGTGGCTTTCGAGTATTTTCAAGATCTATTTAAGTTGAGAACTTTACAGAAAATTTAATTAATCAACGTGTGATTTTCCCTTTTCGTCCTGGAGAGAGTGCTGTGGGGATGAAACCATCGAGGATTTGTCATCATGAGACATGAGTGCATTTTGTGTCAGTTGTTTTTGTTTGTTTTCATCGATTTTGCTTTGTTGTTGCCACCGATTTAGCAAGGTAAGATGGATGCAGGTGTGTGATGCAAATGGGAACCCAAACAGAAATGCTAATTTATTTATGAATTTTGATTTTTTTTTTTTAAAAATGGTCAAACTGCAGACTAGGGGTTTAACCCTTTACGTTGTGAAGTAGCCTAAGAATTAAACATTCTGCTTTTGCATTTGTCCTGCTAAATTAAAGACTGATATATTTCAAAATGCGCTTTATTGACATCCTTTTGTAGATTTATAATGACACATTCCATGCATTAATTACGAAAACCTCATATCTCGGCCTGGTCTTTTATTTTGACCCCCAGATTATTTATTTTTTCATATGACTACTACTACTACTCTAACAGAATTACACCAGAACTCGTTAAAAAGCGAACCTATTAGAGCTTATAAGACCAGTTAGTTACCTTTAACTAGATTGGACAAACTCATGAAAGCCTTAACTGGTTCTGTTAATGCGCTACAAAATATTAACTAGACGGTGGAATTTGTACGCTAGTGGATGGTGGGCCTGTAATTAATTATTGTGGTGTAAAAGGAAAGCAATACAAAATAACGTCAAGCTTAATGTCTCTTCTTTTTTCTTCTTTTTTAATACAAAAAATCCTAATCCTAATAAAATATAATTCACTACCTGAACTATTATTACACACATCCCTATATTATTTTCAGGATGTTTCTGGTGGCTTCACAACTTCAAATTTGGGTTCAATTTGTTATAAATCTGAAATTAACGGTCTTACTGGCGTTTTTCCTTTTGTTATTATTTTAATTCTCAGACTAGGTGTGGGCCAGAAGAGCTGGTAGCCTATGTGAATTAAGGCTCCCTCGTCCAAATGGATGCGGGTTTTGTGCGTATTTAGACTTTGTTTAACCAAAAAAACCAAAAGGTTGTATAGTCTTAATTCTTCTTTCCTCAAAAGTGTTCTGATGTTTTTAACATTATAATAAGAATTTAAATTTGCCATGTACAAGTGAAAACTTTTTTCACCTGAATTATAACTCAGTAGCAAACAGCGTAAACACGTAGTGCGCTGCAGCCGAAACCATCCAATAATAGGCTATTTATAAGGAAGGCTACTATTGAACATGGATACAGTGAATATGAATAAATGAGCAGGTTACGTTCCTAATAGTAACTCAAACTGGTTTCAAATATACGTAATTTAAAATAACTAAATTTAAAAACACATACGAACACTAACGTTATTGTGATATCTCGTACTGGACAGATATATTATATAATATGGTTGTAAATTGAATAGCCCAGTGTGACTTGTTAATCTGTTTGCGTGATTTTTTTTATTCAAACAGTGACGTTAGTTTCTACCCCACATGATAGGCTACAATTATTTTTTCACTCCTTATGTTGTGTTCAGTTAAAAAATCCCCTTTCGTGTCATGTGTTGTGTTATACGTCTTGTGTTTTCTGTGCTGCAGTCAGTGTGCTTTAGGACATTCATCCAGGCCAAACAAAGCCACAGTTACTCAAAATAACACAAATACTAAGACAGTACTGCAGACACTTCACAAGCTACTGACTCTCGCTATAGTTCTAACTCAACATGCTGTATAGAATCAACCGCATGAGGTTTAATACTAAATGAACTGCACACAACCTTAACACTTCTGGGTTTATTTTTGTAGGTAAGGCACAATACAGCAAATGTCATATTTTCTAGACGCGCTATTTCTATAATTTCTCATTTAAAAAGCCAAATTCACTGAGGCTACAAACAGTAAGGCAACATACCAAATGTGTTTAACGTTTTAGGACGGCCCCAGCTATCTCCCATCAGTATTTTGCTCTTTAAATAATTGGATTATCTTGAACAGAAAATGAATTAGTTATTAGTTATTAGTTTAGCAACTCACGAACAGATCTCCAGCAAACATTTCTAAACTCCCACCACACTCCTCTAGCTTGGTTTGAGCGAGACGTGCACGCGCATCTCGCGTCCGTATGTCTGTCTGTGTATTCAGTTCAGACTCATTTTCAAATGCAAGGGCAAGATGCATTATCAGTGCATGTCTTTTGAATATTTGCCTGAGTTTGCATATGTACAGTGATGTTTCAGAATGAGACAGAATCATTGCTTGACAGACTCAATCTGAGTGAAATAGATATTCTAAATAACTAGTAACTAATGTCTTTGTGGTCATTCATTCCACACATTTATGAAAGAAATGTGATCAATCATAGTTAGAGATCGTTTATGTTGGCTGAAAGAAACTCGCCTGTTCAGTTTTTGTGACTTTCATTTTAAAGTCAATACCTTGCGTGTATCCTCAATATAGAAAACTCGTAATAAGTTTATATTATGAGTTTTACGCCAGTGAGTAAATGTTTAATGTAGTTTCCTGAAAATGTTACACTTTGAAGAACTGCGTTTTTCACCCAAGAATGAAAGATTATTGCAGATAATTTATTCACACTCTATCTTTCTTTAATCTACACACACACATTCTGCTACATGTAGGGACACATTAATAACCACACCTAATGTACCGCAAACTTCACAAACTCAAACTACAGACACACACCCACACACACAGCTTTATGACACATTCACACCTAGCCTGCAGGCTACCTCCAACTCAAAAAGCGTCTTGCACATAAAAACAAATTATATGTTTAAAACTTTGCAAGAAGCGTTGAGACTCTAAATAATGCTTAAATTTAACAAGAAATGCAGAGAACATTGTGATACCTTAGAACCGGTATTATGATCTCATAGACCTGGCAGGGCAGCAAAATGTGTGTTATGATGTCATAGACCTGAAATGATAATGGGAACAGTATCAGCTGGAATGCCTTTTGTGATGTTACAGATGTGACCGTGAGTATTGTGTTATTACGGACCTGGAAGCGCCATAGACAGACTATTGTGATGCCACATGATGGAAAAATGTGTATCTCGATGGCACAGATTTAAGTAACATGAGATTTTGAATTTGACACCTCTGCCAGTATTATAAAGGGCATTACCATTGTTCACTGATCTGAGCCTGTATCAATCCCACGCAACTGTATAGTACATACAGGATTATGACAAAGAAGCGAAAGTAGCAAAAAGTAGCTGAACATGAACTCACTACACAATTACAGAATATGTAATGGCGTTTTTTGCAGGAGCTAAATAACTTCTGGTGTTTTCAAAAACAGATTGAAGCAGTTAGTGGTAGACACATCCGGCTGTAGATGATTTGAATGAGTTATTTGCTCCCTTTGTACTCATGCTGTAATCTGAAATCCTTTTGTCTGTAACTGTTATATGCTGTATGTCTGGAATTTTGTTTAATGCGCTGCTGTCTGTATTGGCCAGGGTACTCTATTAAAGGAGATTTTTAATCTCAGTGAGGCCGTTTCCTGGTTAATGATATTTGAAATAAAATAAATACATGGTATTATTAGCCTTACATTTGTATATCATGAGTATTAAGAACAAAAGGGCTATTCAAAAATGTAAGAAAGCTTTCATTGAGCATGCATACCTTTCTGCTTTCATAACAAAATGCGCACTTTGTTGCTGTTTACTGTTTGTCCATCGCTCATGGAAACACAAACGCAACATTGTTGTTTTCAATAAGACATTTCTAGACATTCTGGGATTTTCTTTCTGTAGATGTTCACAGCCTACATTGTCATTTAACCAAACAATTTCAAGAAAAAAAGTAATAAATTATTTAAATTACAATGAGTATCGTTTTCATGCAAAACAAAATAAAATAAAAAATAATGTTTTCAATGTGTGCTTGCAGTATTTTTTCTGTGCATTAAACCTTCAAGAATTTCCTCACAGACTAACACTGCTCGCTAATGTGTACCCTACACTGGACTACCATACACACACA